GAGGACCGGGTGGCCCAAGTACTTTCGGCACTCCAGGTACAACTGGACAAGGAGACCCATCCTTTCCCGGGCGGCCAGCCGGCCCCCTTTTCCCTGTAGGTCCAGTTGGCCCTGGAGGACCAGGTGGTCCAACAAGCCCCTTCGACCCTCCAGGTACAATTGGACCAGGAGACCCATCCTTTCCCGGGCGGCCAGCCGGCCCCCTTTTCCCTGTAGGTCCAGTTGGCCCTGGAGGACCTGGTGGCCCAACTGGACCGGGAGACGCATCCTTTCCCGGCTGGCCAGCCGGCCCCGTGGGCCCCCTTTCCCCTGGAGAACCCACACACTTACACCTTTTCTTGAGTTCTGCCGGGCTAGAAAAAGTCTTCCAATTTTCTGTAACAAATAAATCAAATTCACAATGAAATATTTCATGTCGTACTTTTAATTAGTTTGCAGATAGCAGAAACACAATGTATAAAGTGATTGTTTTATGATTTTGATGCTACTTGCCTTCAATCTGAATCATGCGTGCTTGAAGATCACCTGTGTCTGTTAAAATATTCGCAATGTGAGCTGTAAAAAAGGAAAATACAACTTGATTTCTTGTGGTTTCGACCCTTGGAAGGCTATTGAGAAATCGAAGCCCTTTTATATTTATGATAATCTGTTAACTGCCTATTTGGACTTTCTTCATCTTTGAACACGCTTGTTATAAAAATATGATAAGTGTAAATTGGCCCATGATTATACCTGTTAATATTCTTTGTTGACACCTACCAACAGACCTAATTTCATCATAATGTATCAATAGCTTCTTAAGGCATGACGTTGAAACACAGGTATTCAGAAACAAAAACACAATGTTATTACAAACGTAAAAAAAATACATTTCTAGTTTATTTTAGTAACCGAATTTCACCCCAATGCATTAACCAACATCTTGATGTTGAAACACAGCTATTCACCAACAAAAAAACATTGTTATTAGAAATGTAAAAATTAACCTTCTAGGTTAATAGTAAACTGACCTGCAAAATATGGCACAAGCACGAGGATGGCCACAAAAAGCATGGCGTTTATGACTTGCAAACACTTTGCGCATCGGCTTCTCCATTTAGGATTGTCGTCATCATCAGTGCCAATGGATGCATCGCAGGACCCTAATTAGTCAAATTATACAAAGTCAGCACTCTAACATAATCTTACCACATCGCCAGCAAGGTTTAGAGATAAATAATTATAACAAAGTAACCATTGTTGAGCATAACATTCTGCATTTTGTAATCTCTTAGGGATAACTTTGTTCGATTGGTTTTTGTGAAAATTATGCGTCATCAACATTATTATTGTATTGTGTTATCATTCGAGAACAAATACCCCCCTCACCCCACCAATAGAAAAAGAAAATGCACTTGTGTGTGATACAGCTTTTAATGTTTAGCAAGGGACTTTCGAAAATATGTATGGATCGCTTTATCTTCAAGACATGGGCTAAAATGCAGTTTTCTTTTCGCTAAAAAATCTACTTCGAGAGAAAACAGAAAGCATAAAGATAAAATCGAAATTATAATTTTTCCTTTGAAAAGTATAATTTGGCTGGAGCCATAGATAAAAGAACCTCGATTAATGTTTTTATAATGAAGTTATGGTTTTTAATCCGGCGATATGTTTTTCCCTGGACCCAAGGACTTATTTTGAATCAGAATTTAAAAAACACGCCCAAACCAAATGATAGACTGACAACCAGTAGAAGGCTCAAAAGGCCACGCCCAAATGTCTGTAAACTACCCAGTGAGGCACTGGTTTGGAAATGGGACTATGATGTGGGATGTTTTACCCGCCCTGGTGCCGTACGAGTACATAGGATTGATGAATTCTGCATCGGTGCTGGAGTCGGTCTGTGGATGGTGTCCGAGCGTTGTACCTGAAGAAAAAATACACAATAAAATCAATATATAAAAATAATTGTTGTTAGTATTTGCTTTCATTCCATTGACGATTTAAAAATGGCCATTTTTCTGTCGTACCTGTGAATCGAAGAAATTAAACATGATTTCTAAACAATATTGAGGCAGCTACAACTTCATAATCAAATATAATATAATATAGTACATAAATTAGTGCTAACGTTATTTTCGGGATTGACCCAAAATGGACCAAAAAAAGTTATTGTCCACACGCACCCAAAATGAACCCAAAATGTACAGTGGCAAAAAGACGGGGGTGCGCAATCCATGGCATACTACACCCTGGCCATTGCCTTCGTAGTCATTGTAAACCAAAAAAAAAAAAAATAATTGCCATTAAAGCAGTTGGTATAAGAAAAGAGTGCCAATGCCAGTAATCTCCAAGCAGATCTTTCGGTGGCTGTAAGTCTCAAATTAGCCAGGCAGTATCCATTTATATTTACCTTTGGGTGACAAAATGGTAAATGTCTGGCAAATGGATAATGCCTGGCCAATTCGATATTGTCTTTTAATGCAGCCATCGAAAGATCTGCTTGGAGATTACAATCACAGGTAAATCTGGAAATTATTGTTTAAGACGATGAACGTCGCTAGTCTACATTTCATGTGAGTGTTCATCGCCTTTTTGGAGTGAGCCTTGCATATTTGACTGCATAAAGAATTCTAGCTATTAACTGATTAGGTATAACACGACTGATAATTGCTGCCTACACAAGAGCGATATATGTTGGGTAAGTCTGATAGTTGTTGGCAGTACTTCTGTACATTTTTTCCAACTTGTTTTGTTTCTTGTATTATTTGATGTTTTATGTGTTTTATGCATCTGTCCAGGGCCCCACTGCAAAGCATTGCTTAATCTCTGAGTGGGCCACACGGGCTAAAGAAAACAGAAAAATAATAATAAAATATCAAAATACAACAGCACCTATTACCGGAATGTCTTGGCATCTAAAGTCATTGATAATTCTCCCTTTTTGTGCAGTTATATATGCACCAACAGGCTATGTAAAGAGGAAAGTAGCACCTCCACCACGGCGACTGCCAGTCGGGGATGGCGGCTGCCCCAACATGGTGCCAGCTGTCGCTCCTCCGGACAGCAGAAATACAGCAGCCACCGGACAGCAGAAACACGTTTTTACAGCAGCCACCGGACAGCAGAAACACGTTTTTACAGCAGCCACCGGACAGCAGAAACACGTTTTTTACAGCAGCCACCAGGCCTGCTGATTGACACCCAGGCACAGACACAAGGTAATATACAGATTCACACAACAAAATTGAAAACGAAAGTTGAAAGAAGTTTAAAGCAAAACATAATGCTTTGAAGTTCTAATATCGTATTGTTTACAGCCGAGACAAATCATACGAAATCATTTTGGTATTACGATGTTTGCGAAAATTTCTGAAAATAAGTCAGCAATCTAACTGTTGTGTTGTCTTTTTTATTTTCTGCTGAAACGATCTGTATATTATTGCATCCATTTAAGCATACATGTGCAGATACTTCGAAGATTTCAGTTTAGTACAAATCACATGCTTTTATGCATGGAATTTTACAGTTTAAAAATCTTAATAAGATGCATGCATAGCAAGCGGGCGTGTATAGAAGATGTAAAAAATTACATTTCAGAAACATTAAAACATTTATTCTTATGTAATAATGATCAATCCAGAGATTCTGTTTCAAAGAAGCAAAAACTTTCAAAAAGGTAGACGGGATTAGAATACATAAAAGAGACAGTACTGCACCTTGCTAGAGAAATAAACAATCTCTAAGAAATTGTCAATGGATAGAATAACGGGCTTTGGTAAGTTTGCAAAGTGGTTATATTCTTCGTTAAATCAGCTTCCTTGTAATTGCGTAAGTAAATGATATTATAGTAAATAATTATATTCTTCCTTATTGCATGATATATCTAAGACCTGTTTCTGTACATTTTGGCACAAAAGACTTCTAACTCTAGATATATCTGTTTACGTTGACGTCAAATAAAGTATATGAACACATGTATATATTGATGTGCATATTGCATAAGCTTACATGATTTGGAAATACAAATTAACCTAAATGATATGCAAGTTTTCAAACAAGACTAGTTAACGTAATCTCTAGTATTTCATATAATTGTTTATATTGATTATGCTGACCTTAGAATAACTATTCACATTTTTTTATTTCTTTCATACATGTAAATTCTAAAGTTATTCCGATTCTGAAGTGTATTTTGTATTTATGTACAGTGATATTTCTGTTGTCAGAGAAAACACAGTGCAACAATATGGTTTTGTTTACAAATATACAAATTGGTCACATAGTGGCGCTGTAGACAAAATATCTAGTAGAAACCATTTGTACAAATTTTGTATAAAACAGCACTGTTTTAAACGTGCTGAATTCTATTACGAAATTTACGTTAACCATTTTCAACAATTAAGGTAGCTTTGATGTTTTGTCAATAACAACATATCAACAAACTACAAAGTGATAATTTTCTGTCATGTGAAACAATTAATTTCTTATTGGCTAAGTTCGTCATCTGATGTCACAGGTTATACAACATTTCCACTCACGTGACTATGACGTAAGTACTGCCGGCCATGCCAGGAAAATTAGACTTTTTGCACGATACAATTAATATGCAAATGTAAATGACTAATCATTTATTAACTAACAATGGTGATGTTACGTGAAAATACCTAATGATATTCCGTCATAAAATGTATTGACGTTTTGGCGTTCGAATCCGGTTTTACTTAAATTTGACTAAAACAAATAATATTTTCAACATATAAACTTAGGCTTATTCAACCCTTTTTCTATGACATACTGACAATGATCTTTGATAAAATCATAGTCTACTGTACCTGTTGAGCATTTTGACTCCTTTTGAGTGACCTGACTTCTTTTTAATTCCGCCCTCGACCGTTGATGAATGGTTCCTATTTATTTTATAGGCATAAGCGTCTGAAGAAATGCATTTCTTGATTCTCTCATGTTTAGATTGTAACTATCAAAATGGCGGCTGTCAAAATGGCGACTGTTCGAAATTCCTAGAAGCACTGATGTATTGCAGTCATGATGGCGATTTCCTCACAGAATTTTACCAGTCCTGTTCCCTCTTCGTTGTCGAGCTTCTCGCAAGTGGCGTTCCTTCTCCTTATCGTCTTTAAGAATTGATCTAAGACCTCGTCTCCGAGCTCTTCCTTTCTCTCCTCATAAGGCCGAAGGTCAGGATCAAGGTCATCGTCGTCGAGGTCAAAGGTGAAAGATGAGAAATTACCCGACCCCCTTAGCGACGCGGTGATTGGATCACCACGACGCCGCGGGGAATCATGGGAGGATTTCTTTCGATTGGATGAAAGGCCACTGCTGACGTCACACTTGACCCCGATAGGAGGGAGGCACGGCTTAGCTGGATACCTTCAACGGGTGAAAAAAAAAGAGTCAACATAATATGCAAGCTAGAAAGGTATATGTAAACTAAGTATGTATAACATTCACATGATCTAGCCTAACAAACTACACATTCATATAGTAGTACATGTATATGGTGACCAGCACCTCCAGCTCTGCACTGCGACATAAATGTAACCCAACACCACAGCACTAGTCACCATGGTGACAGACGTCTGGCCTAGGTCATTGACCTTGTGTTTTTGGAGAAGAAGAAGAAGCTATGCAAAAACGTTTTTCTTCGTATCTGCGAAGGTAAACATAAAACACAAACGGCAAACACATACTACTTAATATATAGCTCCTTTACATAACTGCTGTTACGATTGTTGACTTTCAAAATCAGTGATACATTTTTTTTCAAAAATCGTTTTCCAATCCTTATTTTAATGTTATGCATGAATATGCTGAAGCATTGCAGCCTAGTGACCCCATAACACATCTGCTTGCATTCTGCCAACGGGTGCAATACCTGAGAGATTCCAGTAGGGGGAGTTCCTCGTTGGTGCTCCTAGGGTAGGACAGGGACCTGCGCTTGCGGTCTTCGATGTTGTTGAGGCTCTTCCTGAGACGTTGTAGTCTGAAGTACTTGTTGGCTCGAGGCATGTAAAGTCCTAGAGGAAAATAATTTTTATGACTTTCGTATAATAACTACTTTTCACGGCGACTCAATCAACTAGGATATCAGATTCTATAACGACTAATATGTTCTCCGTCAATGCATTTTTTTATTAGTTTATTCAGCATATATGAAACAAAGACAGAGTGGCGCAGCACTCAAGTAACACTACTTATATTAACTGCGCCACTTAACATATAAATAAATCTACACAAACAAAGGACAAACAAAATAACATTAACAAACGTGATGACCATGGCATAGATGATGAAAACGACTGGAGTGCACCAACTCCCCCATGCATTACGAATACAATGTTAAAATCTTACTATGAACACAAACATATATTGAAGGCACTAAGCGCTTCTAGTTCTATTTGACTGGTTTACATTTCCGTCAAATAGATACAGAAGTCAAACACTACGTTTTGTTACTCAGTATATATATCGTAATTAGTTATTTGTCAATTGCAACATTGGGGAACGGGGTTGGGGGGCACAGTACAAGTCACTTGAATAGTACTGTTTTGTGTGTAAAAATAAGTCGTTGCTTAAGTGCACATCACATTGTCCTTGTCCTGTGTGTATTGGTATTAAAAAAGAAAATGAATGAGACTGTACCACTTTGAGCACTGGGCCCAATTAGATTTGACAGATGTTGCTTTGGCATCATGTTTCATGTGGTGGTTCCAAAAATATATTTTCAGAGGATTCATTGCAATTGGAAATGCTATCTACGTAATATAATTTCTTCTTAACGTATGTTTATACAGGCAATGCTTTTCTTCTTGAGCATCAAAAGTCATATCGCCATTGCCTTAAGGAATCTTAAATGTGTTATCAGAACATCCCCCGAGCTCTTTAAATCTAGGTTACGTCTATAATAAGCGCTTGTTTAAGAACCTTGTTATCTCCTAAGCCGGTGTGACATTTTCCTTAAGCTACTTGAACCATTTGAGGTCGTATGGTATGGGGCTGCATATTTTTCTGTAGTCATTACAAATAAGGTATGAGAATTAAAGCACCGTGAGAAAAAGAACTGGTAAAAAGAATTTCGTATTAGATCCGAACCCCCTTTCCAAACCAATAGTGAGTAAATCGTCGTTATGCCAGATTGACTTCAAATAATATTTTTCATGCAAAGAGTGCATCATCAGCTTTCTTTTTTTTCCTTTTTTGATCTAAATCTCCCAATTTGTTTGCATAGTTTAAAGGCATCCAATGAATACGGCAATCTTTGTTATATTGAAACATACTGCTTCACATTAGCAGCTTTGAGTCAGTTTATTTCATACTTAGGGATTTTAAAACTGCAGAAACAAGCTCCAAGATGAGTCCTTTATTTTCTGGGTGGCACCTTAAAAATCAGCCAAGGCCCCTTCCAGTAACCATTTTCCGTCAGAATTTGGGAAATGTTTCCTCCATGAGGGTCAATATACATTGGGATAATGTGGTTTCAACTCATCAGTACGTAGATAAATGGCTAGAATATTGGCTTTAAAAAATCTGATTTCCAAGACCTCAAAACTGCACTTTAAGAGCAATGAAATAATCTGAAGACTAATTTAGATATCGATACCTGGTTCGCCGTTCCCCTGATGATTTTCCACTTCTTGGTCAAATAAGGCATCATGGGAAGGGTGATTGTCCTGGGAACGGGAATTTTCCTGGGAACAAGGTCCAACTCTTCTGTCCGATTTTTTGACCGTTGTCCTCCTGGATTGGCGTTTGCAGGGGCTGTGTCCTGTAGAGTTGACCCTTGGCCTGAAGTCCAGCTGCTCCATAATGGCGTTCGAATGACCATCATCCCTTGCGTGCCTACCCTTGCCGCCATCTTTGTTTTCACCTTGACGCACAACTAGTTTGGTCTCGTTGTCGTTGAAGGTCAGCCTCGTTTTCAACGGGCTTCTACTACTTATCGTCCGTCTCGGTGACTCAGACCGGTCTCGTCGGCCGAATTTGTCTGGTTTGAGAGGAGGTAGCTTTATGGGACCTCTTGAATGTCTGGGATCTTTTCTTGTGAAACGAGTTATAGTGTCATAGTCGTCACTTTCTACTGAATGGTGACGTGGTCTTACCAATGGAGGTAGTCTTGGAGAGAACATGGCCGCAAATTTGGCACAACAAATTTGACACGCCTATATTTCTAAGATACTGTCTTTTTCTTTACTCTTTTTCAAATGACACAAAGGAATGGATCACAGTCAGACATCTTAGACATTTTATATATATCTTTCAAAATTACGTCTGAATGTAATTTATGGCACCTTGGGAAGCATAAAATAACCATTTCTTTTTTTTCTCCTTTCTTAGCACACGGACAACGATCTTTTCGTCCTTTTCGGTTTCAATTTGTGCTAACAATATGAAAAATAGAATAACTGGGGCTTCGTGATGTAGGCAATCCGTCAAGCTTACGAATGAGACCTGCAATATGATTGGCGAGAATTGGCCACCGCTGATTGGGCGAAAGAAAGATCATCGGCTAATTGGCTAACGGATTTCCCGAAGGTCTGTAGGCGAGAGATAGTCTCTATGCGATTGGACAAAGTCTCTGTTCAGCTGATTGGATAAAATGTTTAACGGATGAAACTTGTTCCCGTCAAGATTGCTGAGCTTTTGTTGAGACTGCCACCATTCCGCTGTAAGATTTCTGTGGTTCTTGTTACCTTATCCTTCTTGATCTGTAAAAAAGTAAATCAAATATATAATATATCTGTAAGTGCAACAAACAGTGTGCATAAAATTGTCAATATATTCCACACGTTATCAAGAATCACAGGAAATGGCATGATCATGAAAATGCAGTGGGCATCACATAAAAATCGCTTGGTTATTTATTATAGAGATGCAATATTGAATTGTACGGCTTTGTAATTATTCTTCCTGAACGTTAACGTTCACTCGCTTTGGGCTTTATTCCATTGCAGCCATTGTTATTGATTTTATTTCGCAAATGTTTGCCTTGGGTGATGTACAAGTTTCATTTTTATATATATATATTTCAAGATATCCCTCATAGTCAGTCCTTATAAAAGAACTGTATAAAGAACAAGATATATTGACATAGTACCATGCATTTTGAATCAGGTATATTGTATGTTTTAGCATCTAACAAATAGCCAATCTCAAACTGTCGTAAAATGATAAATTTCTAGGTGTCGTAAAATGATAGATCCACGCCGTGAGGTGTCGTAAAATGATAAAAACACGACTACTAGATCATCCATTTTGCGGTTGAATCGATTACTTTATCATCATAAAACTGTCTGTGACGCGGGTTTTGGGGATTTGGGAGCCTATACTTTACGATGAAATTGCCAAATGTCGTATTCCGTTAGAAAGAACTTCATGCTTCATCATAACGGTATTCTCTGGCGTGTAAAGTCGTTAAATTCAAATTTCCTTTGACATATAGTCCTGCATCAAAAACGCCATAATGTAGCGAGTGCCAAAATTGACTTTTACAACGGTACGGCCTTTGATACAGCCTCTCGTTTATTGCCAAAAAAAATTGATAATTTCTGCCGGTACTATGAATACTATTATCATAATAATTATGAGAACACCAATGCACCAATGAAACAAAATAATTTTATAATATTGACACCCGCATTTATGAAGTAAACAAAGAAGTCTTTAGTAAAGTAATAAGAACTAATTATTTCAACAATATCATTTTGCATGAATGAGGAAGGCCAATATTTATTTTGTTCTTGTTATGTTTACAGAAGGAAAACATATTGTTTTTGCTCAGTTTCCTCTTTTTCTCCAAACACTGGCCTGGTCAATAACCTAAACCAGGCCGTATTTTACCATGGTAACTAGTGTTGGGTTACATAATGTTGCTGCAATTTTATAGTAGGAGGGATTTAGACTCCTGTCAGCAAATGTGTGAATGTGTTTGAGTATTGAATTAACAGAGAAAATCATATGCGAAGGTAAACATTATACATTTGCTTTGCAAATGTTACCTTTCTAGTTTTCTGTAGATTTCCTTTTAGCATACATTTTTCCAGTATAACATTGATGCACAAAGAGTACGAAACGTATATGGCAATACGTGTTCAGTTCTTGCTTCCAAAACAGATCTGGGTAAAAGATCAATTTTAAGCCGGTTTAAGTCTAGACACTCAATAAATCTACAGCAAAAATCAATGTACGCTGGTGTAATCCGATGCTACAATCCTGTGGATCGTTGGATTTTCAGACATGCATATGGTTATCTTCAAAGTGAGTGACCCAATTTTTCATGACACGTGGTAATGTATTTAGTAAAGGCGCGTGTCAACAGTACTGAACCAAAGGTACCCAAGTCATAATTACCAAGCAGATCCTAGGGTAGCAAAAATACATCTAAATATCTGTATTTATTCACTGTGAATGTTCGCAAAGTTTTTTTTATTCACAACCAATTGTTTTACACAATTCGACGTCTCGATGACAGTCTGTCACCTTCATCAGTATCTGACTGTTTCACTGTGCACTGGAGCTAGGTCTTATTGCATTGTTAAAGTAATATTTAGCCTTAGTGCACGGTGAACCATGTAAGATCTAGCTCCAGTCCTCAATAAACCAGTAACACCTAGCTCCAGTGCGCAGTAAACCAGTAACACCTAGCTCCAGTGCTCAGTAAACCAGTAACACCTAGCTACAGTGCACAGCAAGCCAGTAACAACTAGCTCCAGTGCACAGTGAACCAGTAACACCTAGCTCCAGTACACAGTGAACCAGTAGCACCTAGCTTCAGTGCACAGTGAACCAGTAACACCTAGCTCCAGTGCACAGTGAACCAGTAACACCTAGCTCCAGTGCACAGTGAACCAGTAACACCTAGCTCCAGTGCACAGTGAACCAGTAACACCTAGCTCCAGTGCACAGTGAACCAGTAACACCTAGCTCCAGTGCACAGTGAACCAGTAACACAATTTGGCCAGGCAGTATCCTTTGGCCAGAGAGGGTCCATGCGCCACGAAAAAAAGGGCCATACATAAAACTGTAACGATCTTCTTCCATCAATCTCTGCTTGGAGAGTACCCAAGTCAGAGATAATTGACGCCAAAGATGCATCCACTGTATAAAATCCATTCTTTAAGCATTCATCAAAGTATGCGTACATATAGGCCCCGTATCTTCCCTTGCATATAGAATTATGCATGCTTTAAGGTGTGCTGACTGGCTAATTTGGCATTTTAACTTTCCATCGTTTTCTCACAAAGAACTTTAGAAAGAACTGTAGTTGTACTTAATATTGTGATACCTGGGTACAAAAGGGTTATGAAGATGATTTTATGGACCATATGGATGACGTCATCACATTTTATTGCCCAAAATGTAATTATCTTTAAAGTTCTAATATAGCACTTAACAAGTAACTGAAATAAAAGTATGATTTTCATGTGCATAATGATCAAAGCTACAAACGTACGTTTGCACAAATTGATATCTACTAATTATCCGTAGTTATAGAGAATAACCTAATTGCCTAATTAAAATCTAGTTATTCTCTAATAACTAAGATTTCTAGCAGTTATCGAGTGTAACAAAATTAAGAATTGTTTCAAGTTGAACTTCATTGAAACCGCGCATCCACGCGATCTTTAGCGTTTTAAATTCAATTCTTTGCTTGGCGTTTCGCTCTTGATTAGACCATATGTTCTGTTTTTTCTTAAGTCAACTATTAAAAGATATATGTACGGATACTATTTCTTAACGCACAAAAACTAGTTTAGGTCCTGTGTATTTTTACTTACATAATCATCAAATATCACGTCGATTCATACAGTCTCAATCATGCTCTTTTGTTTGCGAAAAAATAGTAGACATACCAAATATCTTAGCTCATTATTTTTTTTGCCAGGGGGCTATCCGATCAAAGACCAACATGCGTAGGTAACTCATTTTTCAGATTATTCAACCTATTTATATTTTCTTTCCCTAGGGCTTATGACCCATATAAACATATTATTGGTTTACTGTGCACTGAAACTAGGTGTTACTGGTTTACTGTGCACTGAAACTAGGTGTTACAGGTTTACTGTAAACTGAAGCTAGGTGTTACTGGTTTACTGTAAACTGAAACTAGGTGTTACTGGTTTACTGTGAACTGAAACTAGGTGTTACTGGTTTACTGTAAACTGAAAGTAGGTGTTACTGGTTTACTGTGCACTGAAACTAGGTGTTACTGGTTTACTGTGCACTGAAACTAGGTGCTACTGGTTTACTGTGCACTAAAACTAGGTGTTACTGGTTTACTGAGCACTGAAGCTAGGTGTTACTGGTTTACTGTAAACTGAAACTAGGTGTTACTGGTTTACTGTAAACTGAAACTATGTGTTACTTGTTTACTGTAAACTGAAACTAGGTGTTACTGGTTTACTGTAAACTGAAACTAGGTGTTACTGGTTTACTGTAAACTGAAACTAGGTGTTACTGGTTTACTGTAAACTGAAAGTAGGTGTTACTGGTTTACTGTGCACTGAAAGTAGGTGTTACTGGTTTACTGTAAACTGAAAGTAGGTGTTACTGGTTTACTGTGCACTGAAACTAGGTGTTACTGGTTTATTGTGCACTGAAACTATGTGTTATTGGTTTACTGTGCACTGAAACTAGGTGTTACTGGTTTACTGTGAACTGAAACTATGTGTTACTGGTTCACTGTGCACTGAAACTAGGTGTTACTGGTTTACTGTGAACTGAAACTATGTGTTACTGGTTCACTGTGCACTGAAACTAGGTTTTACTGGTTTACTGTGCACTGAAACTAGGTGTTACTGGTTTACTGTGAACTGGAGCTAGGTCTTATATGGTTCACCGTGCACTAAGGCTAAATATCACTTTTAACAATGCAATAAGACCTACCTCCAGTGCACAGTGAAACAGTCATATACTGATGAAGATGACAGGCTGTCATAGAAACGTCGTCTCGTGTTAAACAATTGGTTGTGAATAAAAGAACTTCTTGCGTACATTCACAGTGAATAAATACAGATATTTACATGCCATACAAAGTAGATAAAGGGGGTACTACTACACTCAAAGACATATAAAATGTATAGAAGGAAGTACCAGTGGATTGTAGTGGGGTCAGTATAGTACCGGCTCATTGTGGAGGTCTCCTAGCGGGTGACATA